CGATTCTTTTTCTCAAAATCCTATTTTCAATAATAGTTGCTCTCCAATAAATTTAGAAGATGATAATGTTGTAGAAGTTTGCAAAGTTATAAATAATTCATGTAACATTAAATTTGAATTCTATGTAAAAATTTCTTGATATAATTATGAATTTATCATTTTGTTCAATTCTTAGTTTACATTTAATAAAAAAATATATTTTTTGCTATAAATATGAAAATTTCTATATTTTTATAATTTTATTTATACAATCATACGGGCCAAAATCGGAACGAACCGCTACCCGCGCGACCCGTGACTCTCATGGGCTCGACCCGGATGGGTCAGCGGGCGGGCCTGGGTTGTAGTCCAAAATTGTGGGCCGACCCGTAATCGGCCCGAAACCCGCAGCGGGCGGGCTTTTTTTCACGCGGGCCGTTATCGGGCTCACATGTTGGCGGGCCGACCCGGCCCGGACCACCCGGATTGACACCTCTAGTGTCCAAATACTTGATTGTGTCTACTGTTACTAGAATAAGATAAGATCATATCTATGACTGGATTTTAGTGTTCTACGATTGGATAGAAAAGAAGCTTTTTGGCAAATTAAGCAGCCGGGAATGGATTCTCTTTGAGCATTTGTATTATTCTGCATGCGGAAAATAGTCAGGCATAGACGAAACTTGTGTTACAAGTTCCTATTTAATCTCAGACATGCAGTCAAAAGCAGATAAATACCCAACTCAACTTGTCTCCATTGCATAAATGAAGAATCATTTATAAACAAGCTCAACAAATAACAGATATTTTTGGATAAAAAACCAGAAACGAAATAGAACAAATCTTTTTGGGGTTTGGTCTCCCATGTTTTGGCATGAAATTAGATTTTTAATTTGATATATGCGTATTTCGTTGAACAGCCCCAAGTGAAAGTATAAACTACTAGAGAACGAAGGAATTTATATTATGCAAAAGCTCAAATTTGAATTTTAGAGGTGACAAGTGTACTTTTAATTACGAGTTTTTTTATAGATCTAACTTAATTGTTGGCCAAATTTTATGATTATAGTACGTTTTTGATGTGTATGCTAGTATTGTTTTAAAGGTATGGTGAGGTAATGTTAAAAGGGTGTTGAAATTTACAAACAAGCCAAAATCAATATAAAGAAGTAGCAAAACGGCGTCTAGACGCCACACTTGGAGCGCCCAAGCGCCGGAAAAGAGGAAAAGATGCCGTAACCAAGCGTCTAAACGCTACACTAGCCCAAAAAATAGAATTCTTAAACAGAGATGCAGCGCTACCTGTAGCGCTTAGGCTCCGCGTCACAGATTTTAGGTTTATGCTGTTTGAGCCGCGAAAAGCCCAGAAAAAATTTCAATTTTTAAAAAATCGTATAGGCGAATATAAATAGAAGAAGAAATGCACTTTTATAGGATTCCACACATTGAGAAAATAAAGATACAACCAGAGATTAAGATCACAATTCAAAGGATGAAAACATCAAGGAATTCAAGTTTTGAAGCATTGATTGGAAGAAGAAGATCTGCAAGCTTTATTTCTTTTTCTACATCTATATTCAAAATTCGGTGATGTAACAACTTTTAGTTTTTCTTTTTCATTTACTATGAATAGCTAAATTTTATATTAGAGCGAACGATGTAATCTACTTGAAAACATTTATGTCTTTTATTCAAGATTCTTGATATTTTATTGTTCATGTGTTGATTTTATTATAAGTTTAATAAAATTTATGTGATTTATTTATTTATATGTTGATTCTATTATAAGTTTAATGCATTAAATTACTTGATCGCTAATTTGATGACTTTGTGAATCTTTTACGAATCGAGAGTGAGGTTGAAATTTAGACCATATAGTAAGATTCGATAAATTAGTATAACGTATAGAGATACATATACTAAATATTGCTATCACACATGAATTCTTAGAACTAATTAATATTTCGTTTAACTAATGTAGATTCGCATAGATCGAGATATGAGATTGAAATAGTTAAATATGCTCAATGAGAACTCAAGATTGATAAATTGATTACCATAGATGAATTCGATCGAATACTACATTAAGCTCTTGAATCTTGAATTATGACTTAAATGTGATCAATAGGTGAAATTATATGTCCCTAATTTCCATCTATTATTTGAAATCTCAACCAACATTCGTGTGCATTTTAATTAAGTTAAACTGTTTGAATTAGACTCATTATTTACTTGCTTTTATCAAATAGGAGTTAGAAAAAATTGATTAAGTCCTAAAGTATAGTACTCGTGGGCACGATATCCGGATTCAAAGGTCTACTATACTACTTGTTACGATATCGTACACTTGCGATATGAAAAACGCAACAGGAGGAAACACTTAAAAGAATGGACATAACAAATTTACGCGGACGACCACGGGAAGAGAAAAAAAAAATTACGGGAGAATTCAAAAAATATAGCAGGTTATCAATCCCAAATTTAGTAAAATCATGTTTTTTAACTGCAACATATCATTTTTTTCATAAAATGAAATTACATAGAGAATTTTCTTCAATGGATGACAGTAATTTTATTATTATTATATTATTATTAAACCCTTACATTTTTGTAAAATTTCCTTATAATATATACGCTGCAATACAAATTCGTGGTAGCCAAATATCTTAGATTCTTAGCCTATTATATAGGACATATCTTTACTGGAACTTTAGAATAGACAGCTTTAAGCAGTAGAAGAATAGTAGGCACATGAGGGGGCCTCTCTTCCCTCTATACTGGACTACTGGTATAATATTCTAAAAAGATTACTTTTGCAAATTAACTTCATCTCTTAAATAATTATTAATGATCTTTCTTTTTTCTTCTTTGCTTTCTTCTTTTCTATTTATGGAAATAATTTAATATAGTATAAGAGATACCTTAATCAGCTTTTTAAAGCATAATTCCCAGTTTAACACAGAAATGGCCAATAGTTGTCTGATGTTCAATGATTTAGAGATTAGGGGAAGGTCCTGTTTGAAAATCCTCTTGCACAGTGGTGTGGAATTTTTATTGGTTCAGTGGTCACATGTTGAGGTGGGTCCAAACATTAGTCGAATGACCTCTGAGATTGACACAAATGTTCTTCAATGGATTAATCTTTTAACATTAGCATGGTCAATATATGCTCAATCAAATCAATATGTTGGAGATTTATTTCATTTTAAGTTTTTAATATTTTAAAGATTCTTGTTATTAGTTTTTTTATTGTATACTTTGCTTCATTTTCTTACAAATTATTTTATATTTTTTTAGTGGGTCGTAGATGCTGAAGGTGTTGACGAGTGGATAAACTTGTTGCTTAAATTTTATTTTTTCACATACCCCTTTATTTCAAACGTGTGGTTTATTATTTTTACTATACTATATGCATAATTTTTATACATAGGTGAAGATTATACTTGAATGCATGACTTTCAGGTACTTTGAATCAATATCAATTGTGTTCGTAAAATTTCGAGCAGTTGAAAACAAGACTAATTTATTTATTTAATTTTGATCTAAAAAATAAAATCGCCAAGCAAATGATTATATGTAGTGAGGGCACTCCAGTTCCAAAGTTGAAAGAATAAAGTAATTTATGAGATATCAAAGGTAAAAAGCTAGCCCATTATGTAAATATTACATTAAAAAATTAATTTTAAACTGAAAAATGGATTTTATTTTTTTAAAGAAAGTGGAATCCTTCACATCAAGGGTGAGTGAGAAACACTAGTGTTTGCTTGACTGCTTGATCCAATAGGTTCTAGATTCCACGTTCACGAATCACTAAGACGAACCCCAAAAAATTAACAATATTGAAAAACCATGAACAACTGCACAATAAAGGGGACACAAGGCAGTGCAACTTGCTTAAAGCTTTAGATGCAGACTATACATGTATTATATATAGCATATAATTGTTTATTCACAAACCAACACCAAAAATTGACTATACAATAACTTGGCTTCCATGGATTATTCAGTCCCTGATCAATACTATTCTAACTATTTATTCCCCGGCGAATCGTACAACTTCCCGACCGTGCCCGAGGCATGCCCAACTGGCAGTGGCATAGCAATGTGCAATGGAGAAATCTTACCCTTCTTCAATAACAATGAAGAACTCAACATGTTGCCATTAATGAGTTCTGATATCAGTTCACCAATTTCCTTGACCGAGCAACTTGGGGTTTCGGACATGGCTATGCAGGCATTGCCAAAAGACTATACAGGTTTTTGTGATTTTGGTGCAGCAGGTGGAGCTTTTGAAGCTCGTTACCAACATGAGCTATGTGAGTCATCTGGATGCAGTGGTTTGATGCCAAATTTTTGTCAAGCCTATCCCGGGGTTGGTGAAAATTGGGTATTAAATTTGAATCCCTCCTGCTTCAAAAACTCATCACATACACAAATATTAGACCTATTCTTTAATGCATATTCACTCACTTTCTTGTGTGTTTGCTAAGTTTTTGAGCACTCGCACTTGTGCATCGGTGCATCTTGTATTGCATGGATTAGACAATAAAACCATCAATTTTCCCAATATTAAAATGTGAATAATTTCTTATTTTATAGGGAATACAAGGGAAGCCAGCAGCAAATGTGGAAGAAACCGCAATGAAAGTTGGGCGATATTCAATTGAAGAAAGGAAGGACAGAATTCTGAGATACTTGAAGAAAAGAAACCAAAGGAATTTCAATAAAACTATCAAGGTCTCCCTCTAAATGCACACGTCGAAATAAATGCTTAATTACATAAAATTGTCCATGTAGTATCTATTAATTCATGCTTCACTCCTGTGGCTTCGCAGTATGCCTGTCGGAAAACCCTAGCCGACAAGCGCGTCCGAGTACGAGGAAGGTTTGCGAAAAACAATGAATCCAGTGAATACGAAAACGAGAAAAAGACAAGCGATAATTATTGTGAAGAAAATAATGCATCTTACGATGACTCGATCCAGGTACATTTCTTTATATATATATATTAAAATTACCATATTTACTCTGATTTTATTACATATTAATATGTTTGTGCAGATTAAATATGATGAAGACGAAGATTTGTTAGAAGCAGCTATGTCTAGTCTTGTGTATTTTCCTTACATATCCAGCTGAGAAAACAGAGCTACTTCAATTCCAATTAAACAGTACTAAGAAATTGATGATGTGGGGATCTTCCAAGAGTTGCAGCATGCTTTTCCAATATTTTTGTATACGAATTAATTTCGTGTTCTTGTATTGAATTATCGACGAGTACGATTAATAGATTCGTGTTATGCTAGGTTATGATTCTAATTGTACTTTGTTATTGTGGGCTGATTAAGAATTTTGTAATGGGAGCATGTTATTACGACATGTTAATTTCACTTTGATTTGTCCGAGGTGAGGTAACAGCATCTTCAAAAAACTTTCTAAATACAAGATATTCTATAATTTAGATAGTTAATGTTTAAAATAAATTTAGAATAATCTCTTTTTAACTTTTTAGAATATAGAGTGAGGTTTGACTCTCCAAATTTAAATAGTCAAATTTACTATTTATTTTTACTTTATAATGATTGTATTTAATTAATAAACTACACATATCAACACTCTACTTCTTGAATTATTCAAATATATTTAAATTGATTGAAAATTGACTATTAAAAAATATGTCAACTAAAGGATGAAGAGAAAACCACAATTTTTCTTGAAAATAGTAAAATGAAGTGTCAAAATGGGTAGCATTGTTGGAGTGTTAAAAAACGTTATCTTCTAAATTTAAGATATTCTTTTTTATACATAAAAGCATCTTTAAAAAGACTCTTTAAATATAAGATGCTCTTTATTTTAAAGAGTTAATATTTAAAATTATGCACTAAGAGACTCTTTAAATTAATATTTTAATTTAGAGAGTGAGTTTCTATATAATTAATTGCATTCAAAATATTTTAATTTTAATGGAGGAAAATAATATAATAATTTTGTGAGAAGCTAGTGGAAATGAAATATAGGAAAAACAATAAATATTTTTTAAGTGTTAAATATAAAAAGCCTACTAGAGTACCTTAAAATTTTCTCTTTAAATAAGGATAATTTGGTTTTTTATGTTTTTCAACATTTTTAAAAAAAATTCAATTATATTTTCTTCGTCTATTATATTCATCATTATTTTAGGTTCATAACATGGCTCTAATACCATGTGGATCGAGAGTGCTCAGCGGAAATTGTATTGACTATTCTTGCTTCAATGATTATATATAGTTTATTAATTCTTGGAGCTTGATTGAAGTTTCTATGTTCTTTTAGTGGCTTTGGTTGCAAATTCTATATAAGAGGGTATTTTAGGTAGTTCTTAATATTAAAATAGTCAAAGGCCATCCTTTTATTTGAGTCATTTTCATGTATTTCCCCTAAATTTGTGGACAGCATCGAATGTCCTTAAAAACGAATCATATGATTCTAGAACTTCTTAACAGGATTTCGTACTTATCCACAGAAATCATTTTTAAAACTTGAGATTATGTATAATATAAAAGGAAAAGAGGAAAAAACTAGGTCACTGTATATATTATAATAACTTAATGGCCACAAATGGAAAGAAAGCAGTATCTAGAATGATATATATGGCTTCAATTTTCATACAAATAGTCATGGATAGTCAAAATTTATGCCAGTTTTTTCAAATTTGTCAGCTTAAAAGTCAACAAAAATGGGGCCAGTCCCAGTGGAATGGAAAGAGTTTCTCTTTGGTTTCTTGATCCACTTATATATATTTGAAATTTGGAAACTGAGAAAACAGAAATGGGTGTCCCAAGCAGGCATTCTTTCAATCGTAAGAAAGCACTAAGCTGAAGTGACTGCAATATACTTTTTATATTCAAGTGAGTGTCCCAATCACACTACATTAATCGTATATATTTCACATACAAATCCCTGCGCACGCAGTTACGTATAAGTTTTCCTTTGTAGACTTTGACTTGGTTTCAGTATCTTCCCACATGGGAATGGTTTCTTATAACTAAGTTAATGGAGGTCGAGTCCGGTCGCTGTCAATGCCAACACATAATCATTTCAAAAATCACCGAAAGGAGTAGTGTCCTTTGAAGTGAGGGAGGGTTAGGTCTCACTCTCACACCAGCATTCAGTGGGATCAAACCAGTTGTACAGTTAACTTATTTTTCAACTGTTTCTTGAATTGATTCCAAATCAAATATTTGTCGGCGATAGCTGACTTGCAAGTTGCAACTATATATCTAAGGTCAGAGTATAGATCAGAAGAAGAAACCACAGACACATTATAGAGGCTTCTGGCCCCATATGGGATCAAATCATCAACTACTGATCAAAATATTAATGACTAGTTTGAATTTAAAGTTGGCCAGGGCAAATACACACACACACGTATATATATGAGAGGACAATAATCTCACTGAAGTCAGGTTGAAACACAGATGATGATATGATAATTTTCTAGGGGAATTCTTGACAACAATGCTCATGCATGGTACTGTACAATTGGCTTGGTGTCAAATGATTATATTTTAAGATTAAAGTCATGATAACAAATTGTGGCAACAGACAGCATATCAATCAGGGGAGTTTTCCATGATCCTCCTCATTTCTGTGTCTTAATTGGTAATTAAGAATGCATAATTTCATAGAGTACTTGGTACTGTTAAGTGGTGAGAACCAATATTTGATAGCCTGCTATTGATTTGAGGGTGTAAATGCCACAACATATTTGGTACAAGTACAACGGATTGGCCCAATATCAGTAGATAGTATTGAAGAAGAGAAAAAAATAAAATCATGTCGAATATTGTAATATCCGGTCATATCCTTTGCAACATACAAAATGTATCTTAAAAGATGTTAACGATGAAACTGAACGCTGCAAGAAGTGATTTCACTACATATATAATCGCCAGCATGTGTACTAAACGGAAACAGGACATCGACAAGTCAATCACTAGATTTTTGTTATTAATTTTTCTCATTGTTGAGTTATCCCATGGATTAACCCTGATTTTGTCTATTAATAAATTTAATAATGATCCACTTAAAGAAAGAAAAAGGCCATTAATTTGTGATGGCGACATGTGTTTTTGACTCCACTATAGAAGTGTAAATCGGTCCCCTCAAATGCCAATGACAAGATGAACATAGGAAGAGCACAATTTGAAAATATTCATTTGGGTGTTTGTTGGTCCCAAAATAATTTGTGGTTTGATTTATAAATGAAAAATATCGAAAGAAAACACGTAAAATAACAAGATCAATACAAGATTTTTCGGTCCAAAGGCCCTGAGGTTCGGCTACCACTTCTAACGTCTAATCCCCGTTGAGCATCCTTAAGGAATACGCTCAAATCCACTAAGTACACCCAAAAATAGGCAAAAATGTCAAGTTACAGTAAATGCCCACAAAACAACAGATTATTTTTTGCCGAGTTATAGTAAATGCCTACAAAACAGCGGAAAAATCACACAATCATTCAATAATACTCATGAACTCACAAGAGTTCATCACTCTACTCTCCTATCTCACAAAATTACACAAGAAAAATGGAGATCAATTTACAGAGAGAAAATACAAGGAAGAAGGAAAGACTGCTGCGTACAGAATAAAGAAATGAAAAGTCTACTAATTAATTGCCAAGAGGCCCTTGAAGTAATAGATTTTCACCATTCTAGATTCTTCCTTTGTTAAATCCGGATATGGGCCTAAAAAAGACTTGGGCCAGAGAAATAGGGCTTCCATAAAAAATCAGCAAACCATTTTCAACAATTTCCACATTATGCTGCATTTTGAGATAGTACTTTGTGGATTTAAATTTAGACCAAAACTTCATTTGCTCTTATTACCAGTACAAAAACAGAAAATTAGTTTTCTTCAAGATTCAATAATCTTAAAAAATCTAAGAACTTATTTATAGGTATTACCTTGGTTCCTGCATTTACAGGATTTACCTGAGTTAGTATTTTTACCAACTTGATATCACCTTTGTCAATTACATCTCTAATAAAATGGAATTTAACATCTATATGCTTGGACCTATCATGAAAAACTAGATTTTTACTAGAAATATTGCACTTTGGTTATCAGAACATATCTCCACCTGATTTTCTGCAAGTCCTAATTCACTTAGTAGGCCTTTCAACCATAGCCCTTCCTTTATAGCCTCAGTGGCTGTAATGTATTCAGCCTCAGTTGAAGACAATGCAACTACCTTTTGTAATTGTGATTTTCAGCTAATGCATGTATCATTCATGACATAAAAATATGCAGTTGTAGATTTTCTATTGTCTGGATTTCCAGCATAATCAGAATCTATATAACCTTTTAGTTTAAGTCCATTTTTATCATTTTTGAAAATTAGACCTAAATGACTTGTTCCTTTCAAGTATTTAATCGATTTTTTCATGCATTGCCAATGTAATTCATCTAGATTACCCATAAATCTACTTAGCACACTTACATCGTAAGCAATATCAGGTTTAGAGCATACCATCGCATACATCACAGATCCAACAGCATTAGAATATGGCACATTCATCATTCTTTTATGTTCATTTTCAGATTTGGGTGATTGATCAACAAATAGTTTCATATTACCATAAAAACACAGGCTAACAGGCTTAGCATCATGAAGAGAAAATATTTTAACTACCTTTTCAACATAAGACATTTGTGTTAGAAATAACTTCCCATTTATTCTTTCCCTTTTTAATTTTCATGCCCAATATTTTCTTA